GCCGCCCCGCTGCCCGTGCCCGGCGCTGACTACAAGTCCCGGCGGCTCCCCCCGGGAGCAGACCCGGCCCCCTCCGGGCGAGGGGAGCGCTCCGGGGGGAGCCCGCCAAAGAAACCGCCCCGAGAGCGGGCGCTCGGCACCCCCGGCCCGCGCTTATTGCACAACGATCTCACCCCGGCAGGTTCGGGCGCGGGGACAAAGCCACCCGGCAGCTGGCAGCCTTGGTGGCACCGGCGTGCTCGAAGCCAAGGCAGGAGGAAGGGCTGGTGTTGAATCGAATCACCAGGGAGGTTCGGGCACAGGGCTCCAGAAGTATCTTTCTTAAGGTTCTTAAGCCTCCTGCTTCTCCTCTGGACACTTTAGCATCTACCTGTGCAGCCTGCCTCTGCGGGCGGGGATGCACCATTCCCGTTGGTGTTCAGCAAAGGGATTCTCCTCCACTGTCCCCGTTTTGCATTTTGGTCCCTCAAAGGACAGGCAGCTCCTACTGTGAAATATAAGACTGAAGTGCCACTACCTTTGACCTGACCTGTAGGTTTCAGCCCTGACCTGTGATTCAAACCTTGGGGTATGGTTACTGTAGCACAGCCCCATATTCACTCCCTGTACCGCTCTATCCATAACTGCAGGAAAACAAAACCTGAAAAGCTACTTTGTACCTCAGAATCCATCGCTGGAGAACACTCTGATGGTGAAGGGCTTGCAATGCTTTATTTCCTCCAACATGAGTTGGAGTCTGGGGTGTGAGAGGGGGTCCCAGAAGTCCTTGTTCATTCATGGTTTCCATCTCCCAGAACCTCAAGAAGTGCCCTTGTGCCTTAGGTTTGTCATTTTACAGAGAAAGAGATTTTTTGCCACATGATAAATGCAGAGGTAACATGTTAGCAAAAAAAGCCAGTGAAGTTCTAAATCACCATCTACTTTGGCTTCTATACAGCAGGTTCAAACTCTGCAGACATTTCTCTTTTATGGACCCCACAGAGAAAAGCCAGTTATTTCAAGAGAAAGGAATGCATTAATGTCTGCACTCCGTAGTTATTCATTAATATTTTTCTTGCATTGCTTCCATAGTTCTAAACACCCTATGCTTCATAAAAGAGAGGGGGAAAACAAAAAGCCAAGGAAAGCCATTAAGCTTTTCAGGACTAAAGCACCAGACTCCAAGACTAGGACACATTTCCACTGATTACTGTGGGAAAAAAGATGGAGCTGGGCCAGCAGCACCCAACATCACTGTGACATTAACAGCCTTCTGCAAACAGACAGTCCCATGGAAATCTGTGGAGCTTTTGTGTTTCATGCAGTGATGGATCATGCGCAGCTGTCCCTGATCCATCCCAACAGCAAGCCTGGAATACACCTTTGGGGTCGGACTCCAGCCAGAGGCCGGGGCCTCTCCACCACTGAGTCATACCCCTTCTGTCTGCATGACTTCCACCGCAAACTGCACATCAGCTGCTTCCTGGGCCGCCCGAGCTAATGACAACCCAGTTGGCACTCAGTCACTGTCCTTTTACAGAGCTTCATTCTGCTCCAAATGATGGCAAAGATTCAAATCATCCAAACAGACTCCGGCTCCTCTGCAGGGCAAGGCTTGCAGAGTTCTCAAAAGCAACCAGCAGTATCTCGGTTCTTGATGCTTTCACTGGTCAGGGGGGAAAACATAAGCCCCACATCTCTCAAAGGAGGGATCCCAGCTCCTCTTCTTCCCTAGAGGCAGGAAAAGGAGTTCTCTTACAGGCAGAACAGAACAAGAAAGAAGTTAGGGCTAAACCTGCACTCGGTGAGCACCACAACCTCCCTGGTCCCACTGGTGTGGCTGGGGGAGGCTGCCTTAGTTCTGCCACACCCTGGAAAGCAGGACGGGAAATGAAATCTCCTGTCTCATGGTACAGCTATTGCAAACACAGGGTCTGATGAGCTGTTACCACAAACACAGTGGGAAAGAGAAGAGAAAGTGAGTAGGGATAACTTTATGTGAGTAAATTAATTTTTTTATATTTCCCACACACACACACATTCTTGTGATAAGCCATCGTGCTCCCCAAAGCACCAACAGATTAAATCCAGCCATCAGATCAAATCTGCAGGAGCTTGGCTGAGCCAGTTTGATGACACCTTCTCCTGCTTTTACTACAACAATAGGAGTACCTGAGAAGAGAATGTTTCAAGTTTCTCTGGTCAAAGACAGTTCCTTCAGAGACAGGCACATCTCAAAGTGTGAAGCTGCCTTGAGGAATACTGGACAAGGCTTAGCATAAATCCAAGAGCCAAGTGCAAGCAAGAAGGGGAACATGTATCTGATACGTGCTATTGTGGGGGGACATTTAGTCCTTTGTAGTTATTAAGAAATAATAAGTCATCTTTAGCAGCGGGTATACAAACATCCATATTCTTAAGGTATAGGATTTGTATTGCAAATCCAGAGCATCCTATTCTCATTCAGATTGGGAAGATTAGTTTTATGATAATTCAACACAGTTAAGAGAACTCACTGGGGTTTTACTTGCATGTAAATATATTCCTTGAGGCTTATGCAAAACTGATACACAAAGACTCCTTCTGGTGGACTTCAGCAGCATTAACCAAGAGGTTGGAATGGAGCAGCTGCAGATCAGCAAACCAAGTGTCCTGGATTCCACTGAAAGTGAGAAGGTGGCACTGCAAGAGTATCCAGGCACAAAACCATGTAGAAATAGTCCCTGCCTGAAGGAAGGAAGTAAAAACAAATTGTGGCAGGAAGTTATACCTTCAAGAGCACAAGAGCAGGACAGAGATGGGGAAAGAGTAGCAGGGGAAATGTTCCCTGTTTCCTGTCCTCTGCAAAGCCCCAAAGTCCTTTCTGTTCTTGTCCTTCCCTTGGTAGTGAAGCTCTATGGTGCTCTCCTTATATACTTATCTGAGCATTTCCCTTTCTTTCCCTGATGTCTTTGGGAGAGTTGGGTTGAGACATCCCAGGTCTGATCAGAAAGCCATTGAAGAACTTTCCTCATTTCTTAGGAGACTGATGGGCTTTGTTTTTAAAATGTAGCTACAGTGGAGCTCTGACCTTTTTCAGTCTCTGCAGTTGCTTAGCCAAGACTTCATTGCTGTAGGGCAGTGCCCTTCAGTTTTGCCATGGATACCCACTTACTGCTTGTTGCAACAACAGCAGAAGAAACATCCCCCTCTGAAGCTCCACAGTTAAATAAGTTAGCTGGAGAGAGAGGGATCTACTGTGGGAACTGTTTGCTTTGTTAGTTTTACTAATGCTCAGTCTGGATGCTGGCCACCAGCTAGGCTGTGAACAGGAGCAGTGCTGGGAGATCTTGAGGGAAGCTGCATTCAGTGGCATTTGGTTTAGGTTATAGCAGGAAGTTCTGCATCTGGGCCCGTGGTCTCAGATTTTCTGCTTTGGTGCCCTGAACACACCGTAACCATTGCTGAACCCAGAGCTGCTGCCACAACAGGAATTGAAAAATTATCCTTCTTTGGGCCACTTCTAACTAAATGGTTGAGTAGAGGATGTTCCCAATCAGGATTGCTTTTTGAATAGGCTTTTGCTTCTGTAGGAATTTTCTAATAGGACTACTTCCTCTTCTGAAATATTTCAGAACTGAGTGAACTCTCCTTTTACTGGCTAAACTAGTTACACACAATCAGACCACCAGCTCTAGTGGGCACAGAATGATCTGGTTTCATGTGCAAGTAACCTGCATTAAAAGAACATAATAAGATGGATATGGACATTGATAACTCTGGGACTGTGAGAACAACAAAAGGGACACCTGACTTGACTCTGCTGGACCACAAGCATATTTTAAAAATTGTGACAAAAGGAAATGCCATTAGAAGTCTAGTTTACTTCTCCAAATCTTCCTGCCCTCCCACTTGATAAACCTTGGCAAAATTAAAGTTGTGTGTCTGTACCATGACAAAGGACAAACTGAATCATGGTAACAGCTACAAGATTCCTGAAAACTAAGAGGCTCAGGGAAGAAATTGCAGAGCTCATGACTGCTTGGAGGATCTTGCCACAGGAAGGCAGAGCTGCACTGCAAGCCTTGGATATAAGTCTAGATTAAAATAAAGACATAGTATTGCCAAGGAAACTAAGAGGCTGTGCCATCACATTGCTCATACACCTGCAGCTGCCAACTAGAACTTGTGCATTTTTCCTTGACACCATTACTATTTCCTATTAGTTCCTTGGAGAGGCTCAGCTGCAGCACAGTAGCTGAGCACTTTTCCTTCCACATGCCCTTGTGCAGGTCGTGCATGTCAGAGGGGAAGAATGAACCACCTGTCTGGGACCAGGAAGGACCAGATCAGCAAGGAAGGTGCTTCAGGGGTGCAGTGGTTGAACCCACGATGCCCCCACCTTGAGTGGTCAAACCTGCATTTATTGGTACTCATTACTCTGCTCTTGGGGAATTTCTCCTCCATGATCTATGGTGTGCTGTTTATCCAGATACAAGTCCTGGGAGCTCTGTGTGTACAGACTCTACCCAGCCTTGGCAAAGCCCTCTGGGGAGCTGGAATGACACTGCACCGGGGACGCAGCCGAGCTGGCCGGGGCTGCCAGCTGGGGATTGTCACAGTCTGACAGCAGGGAGCTGGGCTGGCTTTCTGAGCAATGAAAATACTGCCCTTGATTAGGATGGTGGCTTGTTTTCTGGCATTGTTGGCATCTATGCCAAATAGTTTTGTCATCATCAGTATTGTAATGTCTTGGCCTAGAGCAGTGGTAACCCTTGCCTTTCCTGCAACCACAGGGACGATGCTCTTCGGCCTATTAATGAGTAACTAATGAAAAGTGCAGATCTTCACATTGCAACTAAATTATGTAACAAATCCAGGAAACCCTTCACTAGCTGATCTCAGTTTCTTCTTTACCTTGTAGAAGGTAGGAAAGGGATGATAAAGGGTTAGAAACAGAAAAGTGCCAGGGCAAAGCAAACACCTCATGTTGGTTTCTGGGGCAGAAGTTTCTATCCGGATTTTCTACCACGACTCCTCCATTGATAGTAAGCAGTGGGCAACAGAAGCTGTAAGATAAAGAGAGATACAGCAAACATTTTCCTGCTATGACACATTAGGTGATGGAAGGACATTAAATATGGAGGCCAAAATACTTCCCATTTTTTCAAGTTTGCCTTTGGTGATGCCATGGAGGAAGAGTCTCTTCAAAAACAGGCTCAGGTATCCCCATATCTGAAAGACAGAGCATGGGGAGAAGGGAGAGAAAGGTAAAGAGATAAAGCCATTTATTACCACCTGCTAAACACAACCTCCAATAGAGATACTGTTCCCTTCCTGAATTCCTGCACAGAAAATCTGTCTGTAATGGTGTAGTGGTTTGAACCATGATAAATGGAAATATTGTCCCATCTCTCTTAGGCTGGGATTTAATTATCAAAAGGGTTTTCCTCCCTTAAAAAGGTTTTTTTTAGAAAAAAACATTCCATTTGAGTCAAACTGCAAAACTTACATCTCAAAATAGTTAAACAAATATTTTTGCTATTTCAGTTTTATGTTGTACGTTGGGAAATATTAATTGTAACTTCATACTTTAGTTAGCATTTTGAAAAACATAAAACTACATTTGAAAATGAGCAAGAAATCATTTAATGTTCTTTAAAGGAAGGAAGCTCACTTCAGGCCTTTTGAAACAGCATTAATAATTACATTTTTTTTGCCAAATATTTGTGGAGCTGTTATGATAAAACTAAGTGGTATTTTCTGATTTAAAAAAAGAAAATGCCAGAAGGCTTCTAACAATCTGTGCCAGAGCTGCCAGGGCCACATCCCATGACCTTTTCATGGGAGTGCACGTGACACTGGTGGTACAAACTGAGCAGGAACTGTCCACACACTCCAGCCAGGGAATAGGACACAGAAGAACATTAAACAAGATATCTCAGCTCTGGGATGTACAACACAGTTGTATGGACATAACAGACATTCTCAACAGTGAAAGAAAAGTGACTCCAGAGCTGGAACACATCGATAGCATTGGGTCAGACCTCAGCCAGGCCCTTTTTATCCAATTTCACACAGGTGACCACACTCAGGTCTCACCCATGGATCACTTCTTGACCTGATGGTCCTTTTCTCCAGGTTGCTGTATTTTAGACCTTACTAATACAGACTCTGATATCATCCCTCCAGCTGTGATACTTTTAGAAGGTATTTAATGCCCACAATGAACCTGGCCAAGTGCAGAATACCATACACACACATACACACACACAAATACTGGCATTGTATGTAATTAACCTTCTTTAAAGGTTTCGTTAGAAACTCTTAGAGCCCTCTAGTTACCATGTCTACTCTATTCAAACACAAGGCAGCAAAGATTCGTTGCTGAATCAGTAGCTCTGAACAGGATATGAACACAATTGAAATGTCAGGACAACGAACCAACATATCAGCACTGGATACAGAAGGTGTATCCATGCAGCCTGGAAAGGTATTCAAAAAGAAAAACACAGTTCCCTGGACTGAAATCTGAATGATTCCAGCTTCTGCATGATCTCAAAAAGCCAAAAATGGGCCTTTCACAAAAAAATATTAGTTATGATGGTGCCACACAAGTGCAGCACAATCACAGACTGCAAAGGTCAAAGCTCACTTGGGCAATGCCATCAAGTTCCCGACAGTCCAACACCCACATCCCATCGGCTGGAGCATCCTGGAGCATCGCAGTCATTGCTGATGAGGAAAAGCATCAACAGCTCAACAGGCAGTTGCCAGCAACACGATGTCCCCAACATTGCAACAGGGCAATGACATCAGCTGAACATGACAAGTGAAACAAAGGCAGCCCATTTCCTGCTAAATCACACGGACCAGTTCCTAACCACATCATGCTTTTAGTTAGAGAACAGGGTAAGACAATAAAGAGGGCATGTATTACATGCGTTCTCAGAAGGACACAAAGGCTGACAGATCACTTGATCTGCATTTTTGAAGTCAAGTCAAGCTCGTGAATGAAGCGTATGGATCAGTACTAAACCAGGAATCCATTCTGCTTCTTAGAGCATGATTTTCCTTTTGCCAGCCTCAGGGTGCCAAGGTCAGTCCTACCTCAAAGGACATTTTCACCAGCCTACAAGAAGAAAAAACAATTCTTCTGTTTCCTTATCAGAAGGGTAGTCATGACAGAACTACCCATGAAGGTAAGAAGGCCTACTAAGAGCAAGTAGGTTACTATTGGTGAACATTTCCCTGGGCCAAGCCAGTTCAGAATCGTTTGGAGAGTTCAATCATCTCTCTCATCTCCCTACTGCTGTTGGCAGGACCACCAAAGAGAAGTGCTCAGATGATGAACTGGATGACCTCAGCCATGGAGAAAGACACAGGTCAGCACTATAGAATGACTCCAATCCAACTGCATCACGCAGCCTATGGCTGAACAAAAGCTCTATAGGAGAAGAGTTCAATGAAAAAGGTTTTGCTAAGCTGTTCTCTTTAAATACACATCTCCCATCTTTCTGTGGTTTTGTGAAAAGCTGTTTCAGTCCAGTGAATGTGTTTCTGAAATGCAACGTGCTCATGTTCGAAGTCTGACAACACTCAACAGATGTAAAATTTGTTCTTTATAATTATATAGATACTGTTCCATAATTAAACATTAATGCTTAAACAACCAGCTAGTGTCTGCAACAGACCAAGAATGAACATTACATAGAAAAGGGAGACCTCCAAGGAAAAGAGTCAGGTATCTGCAGAAAGCAATTACCTGTCAGTAAGTGATACCTGAGTCCATATAAATCCCACCCTGTGTTACAGCAGGAGCAGGGCAGACAGCTGTCCTTCCAAAGAAAAAAAGATTGTAAAGATTGTATTTGAATTCTAGTTTTAGTCGTTTGAGAACAGTTTGAGCTACTGAATTATCTGTGCACTTTACTGAGTACAGTAATCATGGTCTATTCTAAACAAAATGTATCTCCTTTTGTTGAAGGCTGCCAGAGGAAGGTGATTGAACCAGCTGACAGTGGGTCAGGAAAGGACATTTGAACCTTTGTGGCATAACTGTAAGTACCTCAGGAGGAGCTGAAGAAAATCACTGGAGTTTTGCTTCATAGCATTCAGAGGAACTGAACATCGCTCCCCTTATCTGGTCCAGCAAATCAATAATCTGCATTTAAGAAACATTAATGACACAAAGCATTCCATATCAAACTACAAAGCATTTGTTGATACACCATCAAGAATTAGAGACTTAGCTGACTGGGGTATGTAACATGCAGTTTCCAGCATTTTTCTCTTGCTACAACAAACCCATTGTTGCATCTCAGGATATCCACACCTCACACGTAGAAAGCAATTATTGCCTGCAAAAGATACACTGGGCAGTAAAGGGTAAACCTTCCCTATGCACAGCTGAGAGTATTACCTTAATCTTTTATCTAGGCCTGCTTTTCAGTGGCACTTGATACAGGAGCTATACCAAACACTTCCTTGACTACATAAAGCCAGAGATTGAGTTACACAGGGTTGAAGATCTGTGCCACCAGTAAGACAAAAGCTCCTATATTACCTGGCACATGCCTGCTAAATTATTGAAGTGTCTCTTCAAACTGAATATATTCACTGGATAATTAGTCAACAGAAGAAAACAGTCTCTCTTTACAAAGCTAATGTTGACAGGTATTGTATCTTTTATGCACTGCAACAAAAAGCATTTGCAGAGCTGATGCAACACAAACATTTGGAACTGCTCGTCAAGGTGCAAGTGTTCCCAAGGCACTTGGTCCCCTTTGTGATGCTGCCTCAGTCTCATATTACCTTACAACCAAGTCCTAAACAGTGTGAATTACTTTTAATGATGCATCCCCCCCCATTTCAGGTAAATGGTACAAACACATGAAAGTTTGTTTTGCATTTGAGGAAGGAGTGAGATCAAGCTGGCACAGGTACCAGCCTGACCCGATGCTGTGCCCACCTCTGTCAAGTGGGACCTACCTGAGGTTGTGCAGACGAGTCACTGCCACTCTCAATTCGTAATTCTTGTAGCTGATAACCCAATGTGCCACTCCAGCAGCTGGATTCTCGTGGGCTTGTTTCTTGGGAACACAGGCTACTCCATGTGTACACAGAACACCCTGCACATCAGCAGTCCCAGCATCTGCCTGCTGGAACCATCCCAGCCAGCCAGCTGATGCTGCTCCGTTTATTCTGACCTTGCAAGGGAAGAGCAGCAGCAGTTTCCACCCATGAAATGGCTGTCCTGTTGCTGAGAGCAGGAGGATGGGCCCTGCACTGCCTGGGTATAAACCTAAGCATACCTGGAATTACAAAAGCTGTTTGAACGTGAGCTGCAGGATGAAATACACAATTCTACCAACTCCAATTCACAGCCTGAGGTTGCAAAGACAACATTCTGTCAACGCAATACTACTGGTGGTTTTTGTCTTTTAAGTTAAGCCTGTTATACCTGACACTAAGGGGACAGACAGGATTTTAGGGATATTCAGAGTGAAGACAGCACTAAATTGTAGTTACAGTTAAAGCTTTCTTAAAGACCATATTATGATTAGTATAGCATAGAACTTATGATTAGTATGTCACAGGATTTCCACAAGAAGAATCAATTTAGTACAATTTATAACACAAATTATAATTTCTTATCACCAGGACCCTCTGCAGGTTGGAGGATCTTAGTACATGGTTTGCTGTATCAGTGCAACAATCATAATACAGACTTGGACATCATGTAATAGAATAAGTCACTCATTCAATCCTGAGGAAGCAGAGGATGGAGGAGGCAACTGTGGCCACAGGGTGGTCATGGGTCTCACTGTTCAGCACCAGTCTGGGTCCGAATTCTCCACTTAGGATTTCTAACTCCATGACTTTATAGCCAGTGCTCTGGGTGCTGTTACACCTCCCTGTTCAGTGGTGGGATCATTAACAGGGCTGGCCGGGTGCCTGGGACCTTCGAGGCCAGCAAGGAAGAGAGCAATCGGCCTAGAGCCCAGGAATCTTGAGGCCAGCAGGGAGGGGAAGAAGAAATATGTTTGGTTGACTTGGTTCACAGGACTTTCAGGGCCTGATAGTAAGGAAAGGGGAACAAATAGATGACAAATAACTGTAGTTTGTATTAGAGCACACGTGCAGCAGCACTGCCAGCTCCTCGCAGAACTCCAGTGGAGACAAGCATTGCAACCAGAGCTGCAGGGAGAGCTTACCTCGGGAGCCATCAGCACTGCCATCGCCTGGCACGGCAGCAGATTTACAGCAACGGCTTTGAACTGGAGCATTTTGTGCATTCTGCAACTGCTGGTGTAGAGAATGTTATCGGGGAATTGCTCCTGTTCCGAATTTGTTCCGTTTGTTATTGTGTGCTGCAGCACCAGGTGGTGATTCTCACCTGGCTGGTAAAGGTGAACAACCCAAGGGAAATGTTTTACACAGTGAATCTCCATCAAAGACTTTTGAAAGAAGTTCTTTCAAAAAGTGAAAGTGAGTTCTTTCACCTCGCCCCAGGCTGCAAATGATACTTAGCCAATCTAGAGACATAAAAAGCATAACAGCATTTCACTTTGCCCTGGTTCATCTCTACAAACAAAGAAGAAAAAGCAAATGAGAAATAAGTGGTTTCTATCATTTCAAAGGCCGGACAGTGTGAACCTTGTGGCAGTGGTTTGACATAATTTGTCCAAACACCACATCTGCAAACAGCACTTTTTCACAGTTAAATTAAACCAGGCCTAAGCAATAGTTTAATTGAAATGTCCCACATATGCCTAACCCCACCTCGATCTCAAATCCATACCTCTCTGGAAAACAACTCAAACAGACCTGTTTCCTGGCCTAGGTGCTAAGCTGGAGTACTCACCAATTCAGTATTGCATTTCCTCTGACAGATGGTAAATTAAGACACTCTGCCTGCCTGCCATTGTGCAAACATGTCTGGTTTCATTTGTGAAAGGCTTTAGCAGACAAACTTTGCAATTGCTTAGTTTTCTGAAATACACTTCATTAAACCAATGTGCAAAACCACTGACACGTGAGAGTAGCAGGTGGAAGCTCATCTAAAAATATTGTAAAATATTCCCATTTGGGGAGGCTTAACTGAATTGCTCTTTATACCAAAGATTATTTTCATGCAATAAAACACCAACATTGACAGCAAAATTTCAAAAAACTGGTGAAAATAGGAATCTTACATTCTTCACTCAGGTTTTTTTGACAGGTAACTGCCACAGAATAGCAAGTTAATACATTTCCAGAAATGCTCTAACATTTATTAGTGTGTGAATAAGCCCTCACTTATGTTTGATGCTCGAAGGCACACAGCTGTGTGTACTTTACAACTCAGCCTCACAATAATTCCAGGGAGGAGTAAATTGCCAATGTGTTCTCTTAACTTTGGTAATGGAAAACAAAATCAGTTCAAAGTTTGACTCTCTCCTCCCAGTTGAATATATCTAATATGCACAGCAACATAATGGAAAATATGCCCATCTAAAATCAGTCTGAACAAGCAGCAGGTGATGACTAAATAATTCTGAAGCCTCACTGACAAAGAAATTGAGTCCAGCAGGAGAATAACTACTCAACATATCAACACATAACAAATTACAAAACAAGACTGAGCAGTGCTGGCTTTAGTGTCCACTTACATAGGTTCGACTCCATGGGATTCCCACAGAAATGTTCCTGCTAAACTAATCTATTTTCTCTCACTCAATTCACACTGCTGAGTATTTAAACTAAAAATACCAGATTCTTTAAAACAAGAAACAATGATACATTCCATTCTCCCCTGCTTACACCAGTGGGAGTTCTGCACATCCACGATCACATCCACCTAATCTTGAGCCTGCAGTTGCTTGGTGGCATTCACTTGACTGGGAAGTCTGGAAAAATGTGCTAACAACCAAAAATTGCTGCATAACAATCGCAACCTTAGGGAAAAAAAAATCAACAGAAACAGAAAAAATGTTTGAGGAAATGACCAGCTACTGATATAAGTGCTGGGAACTCTTTCCTACCTTAAAGAAAACAAACAGTTCACGAAGGTGAAATCTAAAACCATGTAATATGTAGAGATAGCAAGAAAAAAAATTGTCTTGAGAAATAAAAACATAAAAGAGATCATCCCTGTTGAAATACCAAGGAACTTGATTCACTCTCACAAAACAAAAGACCTTTCACACCAGTTCTCCCAACTCCTTCACCCAAAACCAAAGGAATCATATTTGTAGTGAAACAGCAATTGGAAAATGCAGTCCCAGCTGGAGAAAAAGGAGTGGACTTTCAGAAAATGCCTCTGAAAGGACAAGAAGCTGCTTCTAGAAGTGAACACACCACACTGTCCACGGTATTATAAACAGAACTTTTGAATATAAAAAAGCATTTAGTAAAAATTTTATTTGAAATGCAGCATGAATCCATAACCATAAGCAATAAAACATAACAGTTTTACAGAGAATTTGTACAATATGACATGTATTTCTATACATGCGCCCCCCCTTTTTATTCAGTCATTATCAAATAAACAAGTTAGACAGGAATAACAAGCATTCAATTCTGAAAAGAAAACTTTGGCATGTATACAACTGACTAGTTAAAAGTAAACAGTGGTAGATTCAAGTCAGAAAGAGACCCACTCGCTTTGTTTCACAGCATTTTTGATCTGGATGAAGCTCCCCAGCACTACTTTCTAGTTACTACAAAAATGACTATTTTTTTCAGTCCTGAACACTGTTCCAGGACAAAACCATGTTAAGAGAGATGCAGAACAACCAACTATTAATGCTAAAAGGTGTCAGTTTCCAAGCTGTTTAGGTCACAAGGATTTTGCACACATTGGTTTGGTCATGAATAAAAACCTTTAATGGTTTGCTTGTGTTACTGAACATTTGAACACTTGGCACCACTGGCAACTTCTCCTTAGAACTAGAATAAGCATGAGTGGCTCAAAGTTTGTGACCATTGCTGAAGTGTTAGAAGAAACTAAACTAAAGTTTGCACTGGGCCCATCTTCTGTCTTGAGTTTCTGTCACTGCTGTTGGCCCCTTACATACCTTCCTACTCATCTGAAAAAAGGAGGGAAAACAATTTGCAAGGCATTTCTTCCTGGCATACAGCAGACAATGCTTCCATTTCAAAAACCAGAAAGCAATGAAAGAACCCCTGAATTATTAATAAGAAAAAACAAGCCTCCTTTGAGAAGAATTACTGGTGATTCTTCAAGTACTTACAAAAAATACAGTATTTATACAACTTCTCCAGAACTATTATAATTAACAAATTTCAATGTTGTACTAACAAAATAAATCCATAGATACAAATGGTTGCACTTCAAAGCAGGAATATCTACCCCAGATGTTGATTTTGCTGCAATTTCATTATTGCTGTGGAACAGAGAGTGGTTAAGTCATGTCATTACGAGACTCTCTTTCTTAAACACATCAGAGTATCTAATTTGAAAAACGTTCTCCAGCAAGTCAGATTACATTTAATGTCATTTTTACAGTTCCTGCTAAATGTTTGTGATCCAAAGTCAACTGAACCATGGTGCAACAGAGCCCAGATGGCAAAAGAGCAGAGGCAGGAACAACAGAACAAGTAGAGTATCACAAGTCAGACTCTACTTCTTATTCCTGGGCTTTAGCTCTTCTGCTGCATTTCGCAGAAAAATGTAGTTTTTCTTCTGTGGATTATAGAATTCATGACCCTAAAAAGAAAAATAATCTGCATTTACTCTCTTCAAACAAGAAATATCAGCATAACCTTAAAATGTAAGAATATGGATATTCCATTAGTTTTGTTTATTAAGGCTTAATTTAAAAGCCTTTAAGACCAGATATTGGGCCACACTGGTGGATTAGAAAGAGCTTACTATAACAAGCAATTATAAGAACTGTGCATATAAAGTAATATTTAAGGGATGTTTATCCATTTTAAAAGTATAAAAAAAAAATAACCACACATCTCTTAAGTTCTACTTTACAGATGCAGCACAAAAACTCAGTATGATTTATTTAAACCTTTAAAGGTCACCCAGCTTCACTCTATATTTTCTCTCTTTTAAATGACACAAGGTCACACCTTTTCAAAGTGAAGCCCAAGTTCTACAGGCAACTGCAAAATTATCTCTTCCCCAACTGCAGATGCAAATATGTCATTTTGCATATTGACATTATTTGCATCCACATTACCAGCTCAAGACCCAAGTATCCAAATCAAGGAGAGTAAACACTAATAAAGCCACTGAAGTCCAACATGTAAGTTGGAAATTACCAACACTATGGAAAGAAATGGTTCTGGGAAGGAAGTTTAGTACTTAACACCTACTGGTTTTACTACTTAATACTGATTTACAGATAGCTGGTCCACCTCTACCACTGCAGTCTACCCAAGCATTAGAAGTGAAGAATTCATCTGCCCTGGCACCAGTGAGTTATCTTCGGGCAGAAGACTAGATACAATGCAGTCAATTAAAATTTTGCTTTTTGTGGCATGCAATTGAGTTAATCTGTGTGACTTCTGCATTCATTTCAGTCCTAAATACAAGGGAATATTATCCTCAACGTACCATGGAAATCAGTTACACTTCAATCTTGCTACCCTCCCTTCTTAAACTATTAAGAAGTACTGATTTTCCACACATTTGTTGTGATTCTCTTCAATATATTTGTTAAGTTTGGAAGAGAAACGCATAAATAAGCACCATCAAAAAGCTTCACTGAGTTGTAGTGAAAATTCAGTACGTGGCATTCAAACACTGGGGTGTTTATAACCACAGTCAGAGCTTTTCCTCCCCTGCACAGGAAGCAGAGTTGTGCATTTCAAAGAGATCTGTGGGAACCTGTTTGGGTGCCACACTGCCCCAGGACACTGCCCAGGGCAGAATGTGTGTGAGCAACCACAGCCACTTCTGAATCATGGAATGTACATTCTGCTCATCCACATTTGCAAGACAGCATCGTTTAGCAATCTTGCCCAGCTGAAGCCAAAACCCCCAGAATGCACAATTTCAGTGTTAAAACTTCATCAGGTGTCCAAAGTGACCATTGTAAATTCTCTTAAAAACTAGAAAAACCCAGCTTCTGTTTATAACAAACAGTGGAAACCTCAGTGACAAGGACAGACTCAGCTGTCAACTGCAAGCATGAATGAGAGTCCAAACCTTCTTACCTTTGACCAGTCATAACTGGAAGCATATGCAAATATGTTGCCATTATGGTTGAAACAACAAGCAGATATTGGCTGGTCAAGCTGTTCTGAGGTTTTTAGCTTCGTCCGTGCATCTTTATCCCAGAAGCTGAATCTCCCATCAGATCCCACTGTTGCAAGAGTACCATGGACAGGGTGAAATGCTATCCCATTCACCTGCAGAACCACAAAAAAATACTGTGTAAAACACCACATGTGTGAACAGGTGATGGGAACAGTCACAACAGATGTGCTAAAGCCTAAAAGAGTAAATATACAGGAAAAAAACCTCATCAACTAGATAGAACTCTTATTTTATAAAATGTTTTCAGATATATTTTTGGAGAAAAAAACCAAAA